ATACAACCATAATAGCAGACTACCAAAATAAACAAAAAGTGTTGTTTCATTATTGCTAAATGTTAACATGTTGAATATACTGTTAGGTTTCGCTAAACAGTAATTATGAAACCAGTTTTATGAAGTGTTAAGTTCTGTCAATTATGCATATGGATAATAATGCCCCCTTTTACATTTTATGTGTTCACTATATTAAAGGAGTTTAAATTTATTGTGCTACTCCATGAGAAGCTTAATATTTATTGACTTAATAATTCATCTATTTCAAGAGAACACAATAAACTTTCAACTGCAAACTATCCATTATGAATTATGTTGCCTTTTTACAATATACACACATATCTGCCAAGATCATACCACACCTTAGCATTTAGATCAAATAGCTGAGACCGAGGAATAAAGGGGGGTTGCTCAAAATGTTCTGCTTTTACCTTATGGGATTTCTTCAGGGCTTTAGCCAGGTCTCCTTGTTAATGTCTCCTAAGGTGGGAAATTGTGTTAAAATGTCTCAGTTAAAACTAAATAAAGCATTATTCAGTTTATGTAACCAAAAGGATGTTCTGAAAGATTGTAATATCATTACAGAGTCACTGCTAACACTCAAGTAATTGATTTTTCTATAAGAATAATCTAAGGCAGCAGCCAACCTTTAAACTTTTTTCCACCATAGAAATAGATCTCTGTTAACAGCAACATTGTTTGCAGCTGTTAGTATAAAGTTACTGTACAGTTAAATTGTTTCGTCCCCTAACATTTTAATGTGACACAAAACCTTTGTGAATAAGAAGTAGGCTTAAGGTTTAATCATGTGTAAGGCTTAATGGATGTGACATGCATGTGAACTTTGCAAAGGCAGTGAGAAGATTGCATGTTAAGCAAACTTGGCAATAATAACTACTGACCAGATTTCAGGGTGCATGTAAGGCTCCTACAACCTCCGGCCAATCGGCAGCTTGGCATTTTCATGCAGGAAGGCCTTTTGCAAAGGTCCCTACTAAATGTGGAAACTGTGTGTTTGTGAGCCTGAACGCTGCTTTGCAGAATTTTGCCATGGACTATAGAACTTTGATGTATAGAACTTTGGACTGTAGAACTTCGGGCTGTAGAACTTTGGTCTTTAGAACCCAAGAGTGTAGAACTTTGAACTGTAGAACTTTATACTATAGAACTTTGTACTGTAGAACTTTGGACAGTAAAACTCTGGACTATAGAACTTTGGACTATAGAACCTTGGATTGTAGAACTCCGTACTATAGAGCTTTTGACTATAGAACTTTAGACTGTAGAAGTTCAGACTGTAGAACTTCAGACAGCTGAACTTTGGACTATAGAACTTTGGGGCTTTAGAACCCAAGAGTGTAGAACTTTGGACTGTAGAACTTTAGATTGTAAAACTCTGGACTCTAGAACTTTGGACTGTAGAACTCCATACTATAGAGCTTCAGACTATAGAACTTTAGACTACTGAACTTTGGACTATAGAACTTTACACTGCAGAACTTTGGGCTATAGAACTTTTGACTATAAACCTCTATACTGTAGAACTTTGGACTATAGCACTTTACACTGCAGAACTTTGGACTATAGAACTTTAGACTATAAAACTCTGTACTGTAGAACTTTGGATTATAGAACTTTACACTGCAGAACTTTGGACTATAGAACTTTAGACTATAAACCTCTATACTTTAGAACTTTGGACTATAGAACTTTACACTAAAGAACTTTGGACTATAGAACTTTAGGCTATAACTCTGTACTGTAGAACTTTGGACTATAGAACTTTACACTGCAGAACTTTGGACTATAGAACTTTAGACTATAAAACTCTGTACTGTAGAACATTTCTATAGTTCACATTTCTACTGTAGAAATGTGAACTATAGAACTTGTGACTGTAGAGCATGGACATTTTCAACTGCTGGAAAAACTCTGACTGATCTACTTCTAAGTCACACGAAGTTAACTTTTCCAAACTTGTATAGCAAATCTTAAAACCATTTTGTTGTGATATTATTAATCATAAATGCATTTTATCTACACATATTTATTTTAAGCTGTACTTGTTTCACATGCGTGTCTGTGTATACGTAGGGCACAGTTCTGGCCTGCGGCAGACGCCCTAATCTCCTCACAGTCATGCTTTAGGAAGAGATTATGAAAATGATGCAAGCAGTTTGTCACTTTAGTTTATTGCTACTTCTGTGCACACAAACACATGCACACTGTTTATAGATGGGTGTGTACACTGTTCTATAGCCCGAGGACTCTATAAAGCTGTGAGTAGTCCATTTCTGCAGATTAAGCACAGAGGGCTGCTATAGCTTGAATGCAAATGTGGAGGCAGTGCAGGTAGAAGGACGGAAAGGGGATTAACTCATAAATTAAAGCAAACTTTAACAAAAAAGAGAAAATTGAAAGAGCCAGTGAAAAGAATAATGTCCTTGGAGAGGCAAAACAAAAATGTTATTTTAATCACAGGATAATTGGAATGGGCCATTTCCTTCTTTGCCATTTCTTTCTTATTCCATTTTCCTGCGTCTCACTTCTTCTTTTGACCTTCCAATTCCATTTCTGCTTCTTCCCTTTAAGGATTTGCCCCGCTGTGCTGAATTTGGAGCCAAGATAAGAGAAAAAAACAGCTTTTCACTTTTTACTGGATATATCCTAACTCGTTTGGATTAAACCTGAGTGGAGGTTCTTATGTGTCAATATGGACAAAGAGCTCAGGACACTTTTAATTCAAGCACTCCGTAATCCTACTAAAGGTAAATCTATGTTTAATGCAGATATAAATATGTTCTTTCACAGATCATTTGCATCAGCACTCAGCCATCCCTGCTTTTAACCCTGACTTTATCAAAGCATCTAAAAGAATCAATGCCAATACTTCTCTTAATGTAACTTTTTTAAACTTGAAAAATGCATATTCTGCATTATTTCTCTGTTCCAGGCATACATGGATTTATCCATGTGGCGGGTGGGGAACGTAGCCTCTGAATGAGTCCATGTGTGCCATGATTGCAAATCTGCTTTCCCTCGATGGTTCACAGTTGCAAGCAGCATGTTCGTTCCTTTGCAAGCGCTGTAGGACAGCCTGTGCAAGCAGAGCGACACCATTTTTTCACATTTGAATTTCATAGAGAAAGGACTGAAATATTGCAGGGCAAATCAGATAGAAAGATAAAGAAAATTTGTTTCTCTCCTAGGGATTTTTGAAAGGACCTTGGATATTTACATTCAAGATGTTCCTCTTGGCATCATCCACAAATGGAAATTACTTTCTCAATATTGCATTTTAAGCATAATGACTGCACTCGTTCTCGCTGTAGTACAACTACACTCTATTTAGCAGCAAATCAATATCTTTTCGTTACAATCATTGACTCCGACACTAACAAACCGTAATTTTAAAAAATCTTTTTGGAGCTTGTTGAGCCCCGATCGACCTATAAATCTCTGTTCCAAAACAGCAGGACTCCACCCAGAGAGACTAATTCATGCTAAAATCAGATTTAAGCCGGTTTAAAGATCTAATGAAAAGTGCTGTGTTTATGTAGATGGAAGTGTTGTGACACAAGGCCCATCTGCATCTAGTTCTAAACCTATATTGAGAACATTGATGAGCCCTCAGGGAGAGAGAAAGAGAAACTGAGAAAAAAGGGAAAATAAGATGGAATAAGATGATCGATGCAAACCATGGCACCTCTTTTTTTTTGACAAAATTTCTTTCCCTCTTATTCCTTCCTGGCATTTGGCTCCGTTTTCTCTTCCCTGTCTCAAACAGCAGCACCAAGGGCAGCGGTTCTAACACATCACACCATACAGCAGAAATCAATGAAAACCTAAAAGAGATGGAGGACTGGGGGAAGAAAATGAGGCCATACATTTCATAACCGTGTTGACTCTGTGGTCCTCCAAACCTCAGGATCCACTGGCACTAACATACACTCTGAAATGTCTTAAAAACGTGTAGGTGGAGGGGAGTTTTTTATTGTAAGTATCACAAGAAATGAAATAAATTAGATCTGTGGACCTACGACAGAACAAGGTGGGGTTGAATAAAATCACGACAACTTCAACTATAAAAGAGATCTCATATAATCCAAGTCATTTTTAACATCAGTCAAAAAGGGCATCCAAAAACACCACCAGGTAACATTCCCAACACACCATCATTCCTACACAGAGATAGAGAGTTCATATTCATCCATCTTTGAGTCGGGGTGGCAAAACAAGTCCCGAGGCTTTTGGTTGGACATGCATCAATAAACAGCCTAAACACATTTACAGTCATTTGCATATACAACCAGCAACAGCAAATTCTCCTGCTAATATAATAGCTGTTTTTTTTAAAGGATGTGCATCTTTACTCCGTTAACCTCAATTTGTAAAAAATCTTCCATTGCAAAGTAAATGGACGACAACTGGAAAAAATAAAGCTAAAGACAAAAAAATAAAAATAAAATTCCAAGATATGTTAAAAATCGTTCAAAAGAGCAACAAATTATGACATTTAGGTTTGAAGCGCTACAAATCCCACTTAACCCCCCTTCCCCCTATTATCCCTCTATGTTTCCTATGATTCTGCTCTCTGGCTGTTTTGATTACCCTCATAACCTTGTTTTTCCTTGACCTTTGCATTACAAGCTATAATGAAATGTAACAGAAATGTCAGTGCTGTAAATTAGGAAGTAAACTGAAGCATTAAAATCTCCTGGAAATACTCATTTACACCAATCCGCCTTTTCTGCTCATTCATTCACTTTTCCTCTCGGGTTTGTGTGCCTTTCAGCCTTCTTCCCCTTTTAATTATAACCCGCCTTGTTAAATTCCAATTAATTTTCCCACAAACATTTTTCCTCTGCCTCGGCATCCTCTGCTCAGAACACATCCCAGCTTCCCTCCAATGTGTTCTCTCGGTTAATTCCTCCAGTCACCACTGTGTGTGTGTGTGTGTGTGTATGGGGGGGTGGGTGTGTGTATGAGCAAACACTAACCTGCCCTTCTGGCACGCCGAGCACAGCCAGGCTCTGTCCCTCTTGCTGTAGGTGCAGCAAGTCTTGCACACGTTGAACTGGCAATCCAGGCACTGACGCTTTGGGTTGAAAAGGAAGGTGAAGGGCGCGCAGCAGCGGATGCAGCAGTGCTCATTGAAACGGTGCTGCTTAGAAAGGATGGAGCATCTGCTGCCTTCCTCCGCGAGCTCCTGCTTCATCTCACTAGAGAGAGAGAGAGAGCGGGAGAGAGAGACAGGAGGGAGGAGAGAGTGAGAGGCTGGTGAGCGTCTGGTTGAGAGGTAGGGAGTGAACACGGCACAGTAAGTAAGCAACATAGAATAATTAGAAAACCTGCTGCGGATTAAAAATTCAAAAGGATGCATGCCATTAAAACAAAAAAGAAGAGTTCAAAATGGGTCATTTCCTTATTTTCTTCCCTCCCAATCGCGTGCCTGTCTCTGTCTCTTATGCCGATACAGTGGAATTAACATGATGGCTGACATTTCAGTTTGGATGGACCTGACATATCCTTGCTTTTCCTGCATCCTTCTAAACTGCAACTGAAGAGGGCATGCCATGCACATCTGCTCCCCCCAAGCGTTGTTATCCATTAATTAAAACATTGTGACAGTGAACTGGCATTAATAGTAACCTAGTTTGGGTTCCGTCACGAAGGATAAAGCCTGAAGCAAAAAGAAAAACAGTAATCCACTATTAGACAATCCCTGTAGGGGAGTTGTTCGGGTATAGGTTCAAACAATTAGAGCTTCAAACTAGAAAATATAAGAAACAAAGCTTCTGTACTTTGAGATCTTTAAAGAATGAATGAAGCTACTGATCTATGGGATCTTCAAATGCATAACATTTCCCTAAAAGAAAAAAGATGAAGAAGCCTAAACTGCACAAAATGAAATCAACACTGTAACACAAACACCCTCAAAAATATTATCTTGGAACCTGTTCCATTTTTTGTTGTTACCATAATTGTGGCATTGTCACACGCTTGTCAGGTGGCCAAGCAGGTGGTGGAGGTGTGTCATATTCAATCTAATATGAGTTTGCAAGTTTTAAATTTGCCATTCTTAATAATTTTGCATAATCATTAATTAAAATAGAATTACTGAGTGCAGATTTCACTACTCTATGTGTTATTTTTTTAAGTATAACAATGTGTTTCCATGAGCTCTCTGCTGGGGTGGGGGGTACCAGTAAGGCAGGCGGGGGTAAGCACAGGGACGCAGGTGTCCAGGCTACCGTCATTGGGTCAGGTTCAGTAGCTCTGTCCCCCACTGGCTCTCTGCTGCACTGTAGTCGACCAAAATCTCGGTTGCTGGTCTGGCTACGCGGTGGAAAAAGTGGGCCTGATGTGCGTTGGGCGGAGCTACACTATCCTTTCTTTTCCTGTACAGTAACAATGGCAGCTATATTTGTTGTGATCAGTGGGTAAAAAGTAACCTATGACAACAGAATAAATATTGATGAGTATACCATGACTGTGTCAGAATACATCAACAAATGCATTGAGGACGCATCAGAAAGAACATCACCATCTGAGTAAACCACCGACCCTGGATGAATGGGGAGGAATGTTGCTTAGATCACGGAACTCAGCTTTCAAGTCTGGTGATAAAGAGGCACTGAGGACAGCGTGTGCCAACTTGAACCGTGTCATCAGACAAGTGAAGCCGATCCACAGCCAGAAAATCCAGGATCTTTTCCACAGTGCCAGCAACACCAGGAGGATGTGGCAAGGCATACGGGCGATTAACATACTACAACACGCACTCTCCCCTGGTGGCTATAGCTGATGCTGATTTCCTAAATGAACTAAACGAATTCTTTGGAAGGTTTGAGGCACTAAACAGCACTCCAGCAGTGAAAGTTGTTCCACACCAGGGGGAGGAGGCACTCAACCTTGATATAGCTGGCTGGTGTCCTCACAGACATAGTGCCAGTCTGCCTCAAGTCTGCCACCATCATTCCGGTCCCAAAGAAATCTCAGATCACCTCACTCAATGACTACCAGCCTGTCGCACTGACTCCTATCAAGAAGTGCTTCGAAAGGCTGGTTAAAGAACACATCGCCTAAAGTCTCCCCCCAACATTCGACCCGTTCCAGTTCGCCTACTGATGAAATCGCTCCAATGAAGAGGCCATCTCCTCTGCTCTTCATCTGAGCCTGGCACACCTGCAGGAGAAGAACACCCACGTGCAGATGTTGTTCCTGGACTTCAGTTCAGTTTTCAACACCATCATCCCACAGCATCTGAGTGGAAAACTAGAACAGCTGAGCTTCAATACACCTCTCTGCAATTGCTTGTTAGGCTTTCTCACAAACAGACCTCAATAAGTCCGTATCGGACAGAACATTTCTGATGTCATCACCCTAAGCACAGGCTCCACCACCAATCACATCGTGAAGTTCACAGACGACACCACGGTGGTGGGCCTCATCAGACATGACAACGACCTGGACTACAGAGAGGAGTTGGAGCAGCTGGTGGACTGGTGCAGAGGTAATAACCTGATCCTGAATGTGGAGAAAATGAAGGAGATAATCGTTGACTTCGGGAAAAATCAGCCTAACCATGCTCCACTGCTCATCAACAGCTCAGCTGTAGAGGTGGCCAGCAGCACCAAATTCCTCGGGTTTCACATCTAAGAGAACCTCACCTGGACTGTAAACACTCACTGGTCTAAAGGGCACAAAAGCGCATGTACTTCCTGCGGAGGATGAGGAGAGCCCACCTGCCCCCACCAATCTCCACAGAAGCACCATAGAGAGCATTGTGACCAGCTATCTGACTGTATGGTGTGTAGGCTGCAGCGCCGCAGACTGGAAGAAGGTGTGAAGAGCAGTCAGAACTGCAGAGAAGATCATCAGGGCTCCTCTTCCTGCCATAAAAGGCATTTCACCCCAGCGCCATGGACTGTTCTCCCTGCTGCCCTCTGGGAAGAGGCTTTGCAGCATTCAATGCGGGTCTAGCAGTTTCCAAAACAGCTTCTTCCCCACTGCCATCAGACAGCTGAATGTTGAAAAAAATCTAAATCATGCCACAGACTGCATCGGCTGACCATATCAATTTGTTTTTTTGCACCATGTTTCTGTCTCGCAAAATGTTTACATTTGATCACTGCTGCACTTTAAGAAATGGAAATTTCATAAGAGCTGTATACACTCCGTCTATACAAAATGACAATGTTTTTATAAGTCTAAGTCTTGCATTCATCATTTAGTAATATTATAATGTTTTCATATTTCCGTATAACCTAGTAGAATGAGTCTGTAGAAAAAGTAAATATGAGCTAGGAAACATAAGCTCTGGGTGAAAGTTTAAACCATAAAGCTGGCTTTGTTAAGCCCCAAATTGTTACTATAAATTATCCACAGCCTCTACATAGAAATTTTGCTGACTGTACAAAGGATCACAGACCGTGTCCAAACAAATAAAGAAGGTGAAGATGTTTTTTCTATACACCCTTTAGAGCTACCATAATTGGCCCTTACAGCACCTGTTTAAATTCTTCCTTAAAGAGCTCGCAGAGAAGAGGAGGCTGTAACACATTTACCCACACTGTCCACCATCAGTTATCAGCAGGCGCAAATGGAGGCAAGGCAAAGATGTTGCTGCTGGTAAGGTGTGAAGAGGAGTTCTGCTCGAATGGCTGGTAAGTAAATAATTTAAGATGCTCCTCTATAGGCTGCACACAGAGAGAGAACATCCTTCAAGAGATTCAAATATCCTACACATGCACACCTAGGTTCAGCATGCAGAGCATAAATGTAGAAAATAAATGGCATAAGCAAGAAAACATGATACACACAGTAAGGTCAAAGCTACAAAAAAATGATCAACACAGAGGAGAAATATGTCTACATCACCTGGTGTCAATGAAAATTAAATGTGTAGCAAGACAGTGTGCTGAATGCAGCACATTGCAAATTTCCTGCGTGTAATGTTCTTCCATTGGGGGTATTTCAATCTCCTGAAACCCCAAGTCATCAGCCCCGCTCCTCAAGCGCATTCTCTGCTGCTCCGCTTATTGCTTTTCTTATGCATCATTACACGCCACATATTAACAAGATGAACAAACCAATTCATAAGGGGTGTCATGAGAAAAGGGCTGTGAGCGTGTTTTCTACATTAATACAGACATGAATACATTTTCTTTAGACATTAAACATACATTGTTTGCTCTGTTTTTTTCCTTTTAATTTTCAAACGTCAAAGTCTGTTTCACACAAGTACCAAACTGTCTTTACTGAAAAAAGAAATTAAAAACCAAATACATACAGAACGCATTCATTTTTTAACAATATAGAGAACAGAGTTGCCTGGAAATGATTTTGTTCAGTCCTGATTAGGATCAGGAACTGTGTTGCCTCTCAGTGTCCCTTTAAATGGGTTTAATCAGCAGGGCAGTTACTGTAGATGGCAGTTATGGCTCTGACTGTTTAATTACATCATCAGGCAAATGCAGACATTAAACCAAAGACAATGGAGTTCTGTAAAGCTTGGGATTACCCTGTATTAACACAGAGCTTGAAACCATTGCTCTTCTAAGAAATTCTGCTGAATATTCCTGATTACATGCACAAAAAGTAGGCTAAAAAACTTAAAGTAAATTAATCCATTTAAATTCAAATAATATATATAGCTATGTTTCTAACATTAAAAAGCAAAACAAGCTGTAGGCAAACAAAATATGATAATTTTTCTCTCTCAAAACTTGCACTTTTACCTGTATTTTTTTTTTTCACTTTTCATGACAAAGTCTTAAAACTTGTGATGTTTTTTTCTCTTGCCACAGCACAATGGCTTTAAGCAGAGCTGAGTAGTCCATCCAGTAAAACTGTAAAGGAAATGGCACAACTGAAAGCTATAATAAAAAAAGTGGCTGTCTATCAAAACTGAAAGCCAGAGAAAGGGGAATTGGTGAGAGAATCAGGGCAACGACAATTCTGTAGTAGCTACACAGAACCCATATTTAGTTGGCAAAGGAAACTATTTAAAGTGGACATGGACACATTACGTGTGCAATTGGTCCTCCGACATCAGACTCTAATTTATTGGCCTACATGCCATATGCTACACAGCATGCATGTGCAAAAACGTTCCTGGAGGGTCGCTGTCCTGCAGGTTTGGGATTTTTCCGGGCTTCAGCACAGCTGATTCTGATGATTGCAGTTCAGCAAACACCTGTAAATCAGCTATTAATGG